TTAGAAATTCTTGGTTAAATTTTTGTATGTAAGCTGGTATCTCCATAACTACTGAAGGGAATGGATTGAAACTTCACACACTTGTTCTCTGTGATTATCTAAGATGATTGGCACAAGTCCCATAACTCTGATTTGCTTTTTTACATAATTATGCCCCTTTTTGACTTAGAAATTCTTGGTTAAATTTTTGTATGTAAGCTGGTATCTCCATAACTACTGAAGGGAATGGATTGAAACTTCACACACTTGTTCTCTGTGATTATCTAAGATGATTGGCACAAGTCCCATAACTCTGATTTGCTTTTTTACATAATTATGCCCCTTTTTGACTTAGAAATTCTTGGTTAAGTTTTTGTATGTAAGCTGGTATCTCCATAACTACTGAAGGGAATGGATTGAAACTTCACACACTTGTTCTCTGTGATTATCTAAGATGATTGGCACAAGTCCCATAACTCTGATTTGCTTTTTTACATAATTATGCCCCTTTTTCGACTTAGCTGGTATCTCCATAACTACTGAAGGGAATGGATTGAAACTTCACACACTTGTTCTCTGTGATTATCTAAGATGATTGGCACAAGGCCCATAACTCTGATTTGCTTTTACACATAATTATGCCCCTTTTTCGACTTAGAAATTCTTGGTTAAGTTTTTGTATGTAAGCTGGTATCTCAATAACTACTGAAGGGAATGGATTGAAACTTCACACACTTGTTCTCTGTGATTATCTAAGATGATTGGCACAAGTCCCATAATTCTGATTGCTTTTTTACATAATTTTGCCCCTTTTTCGACTTGGAAATTCTTGGTTAAGTTTTTGCGTGTAAGCTGGTATCTCCATAACTACTGAAGGGAATGGATTGAAACTTCACACACTTGTTCTCTGTGATTATCTAAGATGATTGGCACAAGTCCCATAACTCTGATTTGCTTTTTTACATAATGATGTCCCTTTTTCGACTTAGAAATTCTTGGTTAAGTTTTTGCTTGTAAGCTTGCATCTCCATAACTACTGAAGGGAATGTATTGAAACTTGAAGGGTTTGTACCTTTTTGGACAATTTTATGTATTCATAAAGGTAAGCATTATCATACTCAATGAAACACCCTTGTGACAAATTTCCGAATAGTCGAGCGTTACTGTCCTCGGACAGTTCTTGTTTGATTCAATCCTCATCTATTTTTTATCAGGATGCTTGTTAAGGGCATTGGTCAGATGCGTTCAAAACATGGGTCATGTCTGATTAAAAACTATGTTACAGGAGCTAAAAATAGAAACCTTGTTTACACTCTAGTGCACACACTTTTGCGTCAAACATCATCAAACTTTGTCAGGATGCTTGTCTAGTTAATTGCTTGCAGGATTCAAACATCTCTGTTGAAAACCTAGGCCACAAGAGCTAAAAATAGAAAATCTTGTTAACTCTCTGGTGGCTACTGTTGTTATCCAAATATCCTGGAAATTGATGCACGATGATTTCTATGTCAATTTCTAATTTGGGTCTCCTGGGGTCAAAAACTAGGTCACTCTTCTTAAATATGAAAAAACTTTGTAAACACTCTAGCTGTTACATTTTTGACTCACTTGTCATCAAACTTGCTCAGGATGCTTGTCTAAGCAATTGCTCAGGTGAGAATTCCAGGGCCATCTTGGCCCTCTTGTCTTTATATTGGCACAAACATTTCTTTTTAATAATTATTATTTAATTGTCAATCACCATTATAATAGCCAATAGTATGAATACTAATTCAACTCAAATGAAAAAGCGAAAAATATGTGCATAATGTCACGTATTAAAACATCATAAAAGTTAAAATTAAAGTTACTATAATTTCTTGCAAAAAATACAGTTAAAGTACACTGACTTTTGTGTTTTACACTTCTACTCACACGTGGAAGTATATTGCATGAAAGGAAAATTTCAACCTAACCCAGTATCATTTCTCAACCACTTCGAATGTCGTACATTGAAACTCAACCGTTACTTTGCTATTTTTCTTTGTATGATCTTAGTACAGATTTCAAACCTTAACAAGGGTTTAAAGCAGTGCTCTCAGCCTTTTTATTCCCTGCGGTCTGGAGACCGAAGGGTATTGGTACGCGTTTAACTTTTGAGGCATGGAGGAGCACGTGACCTGTTTTCGGTACATGGAGGAGCATGTGATCTGTAAACCGTATATGATTGGTTAATTGACCTTTTCGAAAACCCAGCTAAATACCGTTTGCCGGTACGTTACGGATTTACCTGTAGGGAATTAGTCCGAATTATACCTTATTGAGAACAAAAAACTATTACTTGATATTTCTAATTTTCTATAATTATGCCCCCACTTCGAAGAAGAGGGGGTATATTGCTTTGCAATTGTCGGTTCGTCCGGTCCGTTGGTCCGTAGACCAAATGGTTTCCGAGTGATAACTAAAAAACCCTTAGGCCTAGGAACTTCAAACTTGGTATGGTGATTGGTCTTGACAAGTAGATGACCCCTATTGATTTTGGGGTCAAGGGGTCAAAGGTCAAGGTCACATTGACCTTGTATGTTAAAACGGTTTCCGATCAATAACTAAAGGAAGCTTAGGCCTAGGAACTTCAAAATCGGAATGGTGATTGGGCATGACCAGCAGATGACCCCTATTGATTTTGGGGTCAAGGGGTCAAAGGTCAAGGTCACATTGACCTTGTAGGTAAAAACGGTTTCCGATCAATAACTAAAGAACGCTTAGGCCTAGGAACTTCAAACTTGGTATGGTGATTGATCATGACCAGCAGATGACCCCTATTGATTTTGGGGTCAAGGGGTCAAAGGTCAAGGTCGCATTGACCTTGTAGGTAAAAACGGTTTTCGATCAATAACTAAAGAACGCTTAGGCCTAGGAACTTCAAACTTGGTATGATGATTGGTCATGACCAGCAGATGACCCCTATTGATTTTGGGGTCAAAGGTCACATTGACCTTGTAGGAAAAAACGGTTTCCGGTCAATAACTAAAGAACCCTTAGGCCTAGGAACTTCAAACTTGGTATGATGATTGGTCATGACCAGTAGATGACCCCTATTGATTTTGGGGTCAAAGGGTCAATGTCATAGTGACCTTGTACTTAATGACCGTTTCTAATCAATAACTCAACAACTCAAGTTGCCTTGGTTGATATTTTATAAATGTGCTTTTGGTATACACATTTGAAGGTCTTATGTAATATTATAACTTGGCTGTCATTAATGAGGCCTATGTGATTCATAAAATTTATGTATATATTATTTGGTAAGATTTTTAATAACTTTAATTGGTGCACACAACCTATAGGGTCACAATAATTATTACCTTGTGACTAGTCATGACCAGTAGGAACTAGACAACCCTTATTAATTGCTTGTTCACTGGGTCAGAAGTCATGCATAATAACCTGATCACATGACAAATTGGCTGCCGATAGGGGGCATACATGTTTTACAAACATATCTTGTTATTTAACCGTTTAAGGTGGAAAAACTTGAATAATGTGTTTAAAAAATTATCAATGTTTCTTTAATATCTATCTCAAATTTTACAATCAATAAATTGTTTTAACTGAAAATCTACAAAATTAAAATATTCGTAGTGGCATCTGCCATAATAAATAGAGATATTTTCTGCATAAACTTGTGTGTTTACTTTATTTATTTTTTGCTCGGAAATTATTCATAAATGGTAGGCCTATTTAATCATTTTCGTAAAAAGAAATAATTGTTTTATGTTCGACCTTCACCGGTCTTGAACGGTCACCTGTTTCCAAAGAACTTCTTCTATATTGATCGATTATTGTCAACTATATTCCTGATACAAACGTTTATTTATCCCCACCCCCAAATAATGTTGAAAATAGTTAAATGAAATATCTTTATATCATTAAAATGTTCACCGCAGGAAACCATTTTACTTGTTATGATACTGTACCAACCACAATCGTAATACAATGGTAAAAAGCTTACGGGAGCAGAGCGGCTAGGGGAGAGAACTTGAACTAGACCATTGTGTTTTTAAGTCTATATATAGATAACTCGCCCCAGTAGGATAATAGTTCGAAATAACACCATGTAACTTTATATAACGTCTATATAGTGAAATGTTTAAGGAGGTATAATAAACATGTATACATGCAATCTAGGTGTTTGGGAGAGGGGCGTAGTTGGTAGCTTGCATTTATCACAGTAGACAATATATCGAATAATTTTAACTGTGCCCTGTTAAATCTTTTCGTATTGACTATGTTAAAATAAGGTGAATATTTTTAATTCAACTCGTATGTTAAATAACGGCAGCTATTACAGGATACACTTAGTCTTTATTCTCAATGTCAAATTGCACTTAATCTCAACAAGAACCACGTTAACATGGCCCACCGAATGTGTTTGCTCATTGGAAGAATGTATATGTAGTAGAGCAGAATAATTCAATTTTAAGAGGTCTTTGTGTGATGAAGACTGGTGGCTGAAGTGATTACAGATTTGAAACCTATGAAGTTACATGTTGATACCGCTAACACTTTTTTAGATATGCTCCGGACAAAAGTATGAAAAATAACAAAGAGCATTAAATCAAAGAAATATAAAGGGTAGAGTTATCATTCTTGCGCATAGCAGTATGGAAAATAACAAAGTGCAGTAACTCAAAAATTATGAATGGTTGAGTTATCACTCACACCTCCTGAGTGAAATATATCAGCCTATGGAGTTTCATGTTGATATCTCAAAGGCTTTTTGAGGTACTCTTGAAAAAAATTATGTTTAAAAAAAAAACAGGACAATAACTGAAAATAATGTAATGTGGAGTTATCATTCTCGTGCACTGCACTCCACATTATGATCTATCTACCTATGAAGTTTCAAGTTGATACCTCAAATACTTTTTGAGATAAGCTCTGGACAAAAAAGTCGGACAGAGACTATTTCTATGTACCCCGCCGCCTTTCGGTGGGTGAAAGTAAGTAAAAAAATAAAATACAAGAAGAACAATGCTAGTCAGTAATATTTTTATTGTCTGTATTACTAAAAGTAGTGTAACACTTAATATGCATTTGAAGTTAAGTATCTATCAATATGTAACAATAAAATGAATAAAATATGTTACCACATATATTGATTTTAGATTAACTGAAAACGTTGATTTTCAATAACATTTATCACATTCCACAATGATAAGATACATAGAACAAATATGTCAAACACCATATTGTTTGCAATAATCTGTGTTTAAACAGATGATAGTCGGGGATTGTTAAAACACATGTTTATCATTAAAACAGAATATGCCTAAGAAAGCTATATTTCGTTTAATATTTTTCTAATTCTTTCTTAAAGTCAAACATAGGTTAAATGATGTTTTATAATATATTCAGAACATTTGGGATGTTTAATCAATGAAAAAATAGCACTGAACATTCAGTAATGCATCATAAAACAAATTGTTAACAAAGTACTACTTGATTGACTTCCGCTCAAAAAATTAATTCAATAAAAGTATACCAAACGCCAATAGAGTAAAGGATAGTTTTATATATGGTAGATGAGTTTTTTTTTTTTTTTCTTTAAACTTAACAAGAGACAAAAAAAAATTCTTGAGAACGTGAGAGCGTGTCTGAGGCATAGTTGGCCTTTAAAGGGTCATTGTGCTCTAAAATGTCATTCACAAAAGATTTGTCAATGGGTTGGGCTTATACTCACCATTAGAGATAGATAAACTTTATTCATACAAAGGCAATATGCCCATCAGTACACAATAATAATACAATCAGCAGTTGCATATTAACATCAATGGCATGATATAGCATGGTATACATAAAATAGTTCTATTAAAAAGTCAATACTTATTCATTAAAACATATCTAGTCTATTATATATGTGATACATATAAAATGTTTATGATAACATCAATGACTTGATATAAGCATCATATATATGAAATAGTGAGAGGACAAGGTTATCGTTGATACAATGCACTGTCTCTTTTATCAAAACTTTTGTAAACAAATATTGCTAAATTTTTTAAACAATCCAAATATTTTCAGATTCAAATAGTTCTCTAAATTTAATTACATAAGGTCTCTTCCAAAAATATTTTTTCATATGCATTTGTCTAATATCTTGTTACAGGGTCATTCAAATAAAAAATGAAACTCATCCTCTAGAGTATTACAAAGTCTACATTTTCTTTCGTCAAATGATATTTTTGTGGCCTATCCCATCTACCCGCTTCTACCTCTAAATAATGTGATGACACTCTCAGTCTTGTTAATGCTTTTCTAAATTTAGTAATTTTAACAATGTCTAAATATGGCTGATATCTAAAACATGAAAAAAGTTTATATGCCCTGGCTCTTGTCGAATTTTCTAATCGAGCGTTCCATAGTTGTAAACAATTATCATACATTCTTTGCTTAAATACATCTATAAAAATATTTTTGTTTCCAACTCCTTGGAATAGCCACACATGATTAAAACCTAATGAGTCTAGTAAAAGTTTAATATTATAGGCCCATGAAATCTTATTAGGATACATTTCTAAGTCTCTTAACATCATATCGTATACATGTCTTACATATTTTGTGCATTCGCATTCTAATATTTTAAACCAGAATCTTACTATACATATTAGCCTATTAGAAAGTAAACATGTTCGACCTAATTCTCCAGAGACAAAATTATTCTGGGTTTGGGCACGTACTCCTAAATGTTGTTTACAATATTGTAAATGTATTCTTTCTATAACATTTGTTTCTTTGAATCCCCATATTTCACATCCAAAGTTAAAATAGGAACAACTAACTTATCAAATAGTTCTAAGGAGTTCTTAACATCAATATTAGTGAATTTAACTAAATAAGACTTGAGTTTGTATATTGCCTTCAACACCTGGACAATATAGGACAATACTCGTATTATGCATTAACTAAATATGAACAAAGGAGAGAATACAAAACGAAAATTAAAGACCAACTCTTATTCCTTCTTTGCAATATCTAAAACATTTAGGTCGTAATAACTTTATGTACACAGACTGGTCTACAGATTATATCATACTTTTATTATTAATGCTAGTTTCTCTAAATGTACAAAATGACTGCATTTTGTCATTTACATAATGAACACATAGCATACTTAATCATAAATATATAAATTAAGTTTGCATATTTTAATCATTTACTTACTTAATTCATTCTCACGCTTGAAACTCTTAAGGAGATAATACTTTTCCATAACTGATGCATTTATATACATAAAGCATTTAAATATATGAAATGCATTAAAAACGTAACACTGTGCATACTCTACAAATATACCTTGTGGCTAAGGATATATTTTATCGTTTAACATAATTCATACTTTTCTTGCAGAAATGTTGACATTATTAATATTCAAATTGTGGAAACTGACAAAAAGATGAAAAGTGTTACAAAGCCGTTCGCTTAAAGCAGGCTAAGAATAGAAAACAATGTATCACTTTCAATTCATTTCTGAATATATTGCATTTCTATCTTTTTAAGTACGTCAGCTTATCTTATCGGAAATTTGAATTTTGTGATTTTGGACCTCAGTAGAGTTCCTTCATGTATATAATACACTTACATTATAAACATTATTTGGCACATTTACCTAAAGAGAATATTTACATATTTAATAGAAATAAACATTTCAATTACACAGGGATAAACAAAATATAAAAAGTGTTATGATTAATCATAACTTTCCTTTCTTAAAAAATATCCATGTATGAAGTTTAAAGTTGCCACCGAGAATACATTATTAGTGCTCGGGACAAAGTTAAGGATGAAAAATTACAAAGGTCAACAACTATTTAATTAAACAAAAGAGAATTATGCCTCTAAAACAAGAATGCATCCACATGCACAATTTCATGAATTTTTGAAAATGTATTTAAAAGTAAAATATTGTTTAGGGGTCAAAGAAAGTACGTTACGTTGCAAGCAGCACTCAAAATCTACATATCTTGCCAACAGGATGTCATAATATGAAGAAAAAAAAACACTTTAACATAACATGCATAACATGTAACTTGAAACAATTTTTACTTTTTTTAAACATTGGTACATTTTTTTCTCCATTTTGATTTTTCTTGAAATATTTTGGTTCATCTGGAGCAACTGTTTGATAAAATCTGTTCTGCATATAAACATGTAGGTAGTTAATATAACATATTTCAAATTCATTTTCTTATATAGCATGAATTGTATTATTAGTAACATTCTAATTTTGAGAATAATTATATTATCTCTGTACACAAGACGCAAAATTACAATATAATATGGTAAAATGGGTCCATGCAATAAATAGATCAACTGATACAAATAAAACATTTATATGCAATTTAACGGCTATAATATTTAATTTTCTGTCTATAATTACATAAAGAAATATTTTAAACAATTCATGTATGACAATAACATGTGCATAAATGCATAAAATCGAAGCAAACTCTACATATTTTTAGTGAACAAAATATTGAACAACAGCAACAAAAATGTGTTTACATAATCTTTGTCAAGTACATACATGTATATAGTTTTCCCTGAGTATATAATATCAGAATTCATCACATAACACTGTTTTGTTTTAGACGTAAAGCATAAGGAAATGATGGCAATGGATATCAAGTGTTCACAAAATTACAGAAGGTGATTTGATCACATTAAATGCGGTGCTATGGCTCAGGATTCATGTATCTTGTAGAATTCCAAGACGTCTTAATGTTAAGGACTTGTAGTTCACACAAAAATATTTATGTAAGTCTTTATAGAATGAATAGTTTGATCTAAGAGAACAATTAATACATATTCAATAGTGATCAACAAGAAACCTGGTACTACATGCCAATTATCTTAACGTTTCTTGGGAGAATATGCTTCCCTGCAGAAGAAACTGTCCATCAAACAAATCTAGACAATAAGCCGAACTATTTTTCATAAAAGAAGATAATTACTTTCACTATTGAAGATACATACTAGGCAATGCTATATTATAATTATGTAAGCTGGTGCACATTTTAAGTTTCATAAGATCTTTAATGTGTTATCTAAATTCATGTCTATGTTGGTATGTCACAACTTTGTTATAGTAAATAATAATTCCTTTATTTTAGTACATGTAGCAAGAAAATAAGTTGTTTTTATTTTTGGAGCACTAAGCAATATCACTATGACTAGACTTGTATATTTAGTACCACAAAGACACAGAAAAAAGGTAATAAATTGCTGACAAAACTTCAAGATCAGTGTTATTCCTGAACATCTTTTACTGTTTAAATATTTAAACATATGTCTTTGATTATTATGATAATCAAGATTCCCATTTCATACAGATTTCTTGCATATGAGACTGGCGTTTCGTTAGTTTTACCCATGCCGGAAATTTCATCTGGCATGGGGGTTCCAGATGAGTCGCGTACTGTACAATGGCACGATAAAGTTGACGTCCTTTTACCGTTATGAATGATTTTGTAATTCATACGCTGTTGAAAGAAAGTAATAACGGTTGTAATTATATAATTTTTCATTGAAAATTAAGATAAAGAATTTAGCATATAATAAAATATGGAAGAATATGCAAGAAAAAGTCACCTCGGGACGGATATTCCGATCCGAACCGCAAAATATGACAGATATTATTAATACAGCATCACAGTAGTTGCTGAAATTCGTCTTCCGTTTGAGTTACTAATGATAAGTTTTGTTCCATGTACAGATCATGTACTTATCGCTCTACAGCCTATGTTTTACTTTATTCTCTCACGAAAATCTCTGAGATTTTATTGTATTACTTTAATACTATATCTTCTTACATTGTCTTAACTAATGAAATAAATTTTACAGTAGACACATGACAAGGTTAGCTTTTAAAAAAGCTAGTAGCGACTCGCTTCGTAATTTTTATCAAGGGGTGTGTTTAAATGTAAAAATGACAGTTCTGTTAGCTGAAGGGACTTCAGCGAACATCAAAATACAAGTGACATCAAAAGTTATGGAAGCCAGTTCACTCAGTTTAACAAAGAGGAATATGAGTATATATATGAAGATGCATGTAAACAGATAGAATGAAGTCCCTATGTCTATGCACATTTACTATAGAGCATGTTGACCTTGACCCAAAAAATGTTAGATATGTAGAATTCATACAGATGTCTCTTTATACGAAGTTGTAATATGTTATTTAGTATTGGAATGATTGACAGACACAAGTCCTATACACGAATATATTACTGAAGAACTCTCTTGGGTGTGGGCGAATTTAGATTCATGGGGCATGAGTCTCGTAAATCCCGGTCAAAATAGACCGGGAGAGACCGGAAACGACCGAACCGGAGAATAGTATATCCCAGTAAATACATACACTAAATACCGGAAAGGATAAAATGACCGGAAAAAAGAAAAAGAAAGAAAAAAATGCATAGAACCAGATGTACACTTATGTTAATTAACCAAACGAAAACTTACTACATGTACATAGAAAACTAAATCAGAAGTCAGTGTAAATAACATTTTTTGAAAACAAACATATCAATCATCATTATATCTTTGCGCTCAAAGCGATACTTGCTGCTTTTTAAAAATGGCGTGAAAATTGAAGTTTTTTTGACGCTTTGTAAGATGAAATTTGATTGGCTAAATAATTTTGGATTCCAGCCCTGACAGATAAGTTTTGTAGAAAGCTGGAAGCCAAGCTTCGATTTAATTTTTGGAAGGATTCGGATTTTTAGGTTATTTTTAAGTAAAATCCTAACGTAATACCGCGAGCCGGCATAAGATACAACTTGGAATTTTACATTTATCAGATTTTATGAACACATAAAATAATTTATGTCATTGGCCCCCCTCTTGATTACAAATTTTCCCTATTACTGAATTGTTACGGTCAAAATCAGTTTTTAGCTTTCTACATAAATTAACTTTTTAGCCAATGAGGTTGTGACTTTAGATCACGTGATGCTTTCGAACCAATCAGGGCTCGTAAGCTTTCATAGCAAATATTATATGGCGAAGGAGAAGTTCTCGCCATTTCTTTCAACGAAATTCTCAAGATTTTACATTAGTATCTTTGTTTCAAGGTGAAACATTATCGCAATATATTAGTTAATTATTGTTCATTTAAAATTTAAAAGAGAAAAACCAAGACAGAAATATCAATAATGATATTTAATTAGCTTAAAAAATGATCACGAATTATCACTAAATAACTGCAAAATTGGTCAACACTAATTAACTATAGAATGATATATTATCAACCACAAAGAATTACTAATTATTATGAATATTTACCAAAATGCAGTACTAAAATAACTAAATGCAATAAAAACTAATTGCAAAACCAAATGGGCTAGGGTGGGTGGGCAAAAAGACTAGAAACGTGATCTCGACTACGAAATAAGTAACAGAATGGCTAGCAAAAGCAAAATAACCTATATATAGGTAATTAAACAACCTATCAAATTCAATAACAGAAATTTGAATTAATCCAATCAGAAATCTAAAAAATAAACCGTTGACCAACGAGATAAGCTGATATAACCAGAGGTCAACTCGATTCAAATAAAGCTTTATCATTCACAAGAATTAATCGATTTTAACAGGTGTATTAAAATACGCTATATTGTTATTAAAAGTTGTTGGACGTTAATTGTTGGGGCGGCGACCTCGTTTTTGTCTCTTTTTCCAGTGTAAAGTGGCAGATTTTCAAGCGAGCTGTAAACAAAGGAATTTTCCATTGTTATACAACCATCATGGCTGAAATCACTGCGCCTAAAATTCAAATATTTGGACACTCATTTGTGAAAAGACTAAGGGAATTCAATCGAGGAGATAGTACGCAGCGATATGATTTGAACTTACATGGCCATGCAATGGTTCAATATTCCGGATATTCTGGCGCTACAGTGTCAAAACTTCGACAACGCCTAGAGGTTGTTTACGATTTCAATCCCGACAAAGTTGTTTTGGTTATCGGCACAAACGATATATACAGGCCAGATATTTCTCCCTCGATCAGTTGCAAATAGCATCGTTGACCTGGTGGACACCCTTTTGTTTGTGACACAAGTTCAGAAAGTTATAGTGTTACAAGTCCTGCACAGACTTTCTCCATCAGTTCATACGAGATATCCAGTAGATGTTGACTGGTTTAATGTTCGTGTCGATGAACTCAATTCTCTATTGATGGAAAAACTGAACAAACAAGAACACAATAGATCATAGATCATGCTAGTCATAATCAGAATTGATTGTTAAGCAGTATGATGTAGATGTAGATTTATGGCGTATGAAGGGATTTTGGTCATCAGCCTGTAAACATCAAAATTTCTCATCAGATGGATGTCACTTGTCTAACGCTGGTCAGCTCCGCCTCATAAATAATATAAGAGCAGCTGTGGTCGCCGCCCTGAAACGTTCCATCTGCAATGCCAATGCATAAGATATTTATTTTTAAATCATGTCTTTTATCATGCCATAGTTAAAGCTAATATTTTCATTATAGTAGTCACCATATAGGTGGTCGTCAATTAGTTCATTATATGTAATCATTATCACTACTTTTCAAATCAACCCTGTAAGGGTGGACAATTTTCTATTAACTTCGGCTTACTTGCTCCAAGCATACATATCTAAATCTCTATGGTTACTATTTCAATGACTTATGAGTCAACATTTAGTATATAGTTTTGTTGTGACAAGGGTTACATTTTCCTATACAAATAATTTGATTTGGTTTTAATAACTTAGTACATATCTATGTGTCATGCCACCTTATTGACAGATACTGATTACACTAATAGAAGGATATTCGTACTGTATGCAGTATGGGAAAACTAGTGTTTCCTTCAAACACATTAACAAGTAAAATGGTTTCCTGCGGGGAACATTTTTAATGATATAAAGATATTTCATCTAACTATTTTCAACATTGTTTGGGGGAATAAATAAACGTTTGTATATAGTTGGGATATAGACTATAGTTGACGATAATCGATCAATATAGAAGAAGGTCTTTGGAAACTTGGTGACCGTTGATGACGGAGTTGATGTTTGTAAAATTTGAGATACATATTAAAGAAACATTGATAATTTTCAAAAACATAATTCAAGTGTTTCCACCTTAAACAGTAAAGTAATTATGGGAAAATGAAAATATCGCGTAATAGTTTTTTTTTGTTCTTAATTACCAATCTCCACACAGTGATCTCCCCTTAATTCTTCGGCGTAGATCTCTGCAACCAAGGTCCCGATTCATCAGAATTTCTGATATACTATATTTTTTTCAAAAATTGTTTTATCTACTGCTTTTATCTATCAGATAAGTTTTCTCTCATTTATTTAACAATGTTTATGAATAAATAAATAAATAATATGAATATTTAGAAATAATTTTAAAAATTATGAGATTATTTTCTACCGAGACGATATTTTGATATTTAATCTTTTTTAGCTTTTTAATTTATTTTTCGTTATTTTGTATACTTTCGATAATGTTTTGATAAACTATATTGAACGTAGGCACAAAAAGTTAAAAATAAAACAGAAAGAGAAAAATAACGTTAGATTTTCTTTGTAACAGTCGATATTTACATTTGAATTTCGACGTTACGTCATGTGACTTTCATCATCATGTGACGTCTTTGAAGGCAGTGATTACAATTCTGCCGAGGGGGGTAATCACTGTGAGGAGTTTGCTTAATTACGTGTCACTCTAATTCCCTAGAGGTGTCACCCCGGTACGGAATTAGACCCAGCCCGTTGTAGTCTAGAAAGTAGGTCTTTTAAATTTTGAAATGGCCTATTTCAAGTCATCTTAATTGATACTGGTTATATTTCAAGTATATCTTTAGTAATAATTAATATACATGAAGTTTCATTTCTGAGTACCTTAAAGGTTGTTTTTGATGTATTTTTGCAGGATTTCATTTCTGGGGGGAAGGTTTCATGAGGCACTATGCACAAGAATACACACCAGTTACTATTTGGAATATTCTATAGTGATTACAGAAATTAAAAGCTGCAGAAAAACTCCAAGGGCTAATGTATTATTTTTTGTGCTAAATTTACTTGGACTGCATTGGTGTTTAAAGAAATGGTCATGAAGTTTCGGTACCGGATTTGCTTTGTCCAGAATTTAGCCTTAAATGTGATGGATTCACTATAGGATATATGGGTCGCAAATTCAGTAGGCCGTCTCCTAGAGGTAAATCCGTAACATACCGGTAGACGGTATTTAGCCAGTTTTCGAAAAGGTCAATTAACCAATCATGTACGCTTTACAGATCACATGCTCCTCCATGTACCGAAAACAGGTCACGTGCTCCTCCATGCCTCAAAAGTAAAACGCGTACCAATACCCTGCGGTCTCCAGACCGCAGGGAATAATGTTGCTAGGGTGTGGTGCATTATTTTTAAATTTTATGCTTTCAAACTTATTCCAATAATCACATGCAATAACACATGCATGCATTATAAATACTGGTTCAATTTAAAGTTTATGTCTGTGTGAGTCCGTTTTTAGTTCACACACATAATATTTTCATGGTTTATTTTTAATCCATGTTTGTGTGATTTAGTTTCCAGTTCACACACGTAATTTACATGGATTAGTGTATAGTCCATGTCTGTGTGATTTAGTTTACAGTTCACACATTTTTTATTACATGGTTTAGTTTACAGTCCATGTCTGTGTGATTTAGTTTACAGTTCACACATAATTAAATATGGCTTAGTTTACAGTCCATGTTTGTGTGCTTTAGTTTAAAGTTCACACATATTGTACATGTTTATACATTGTTTAGTTTGCAGTCCAAGTTGGTTCGCATTATTTTACGATTGTCACGCATTATACGAACATGGTTTAGTTACCAGTCATATTTGTAGGCTTAATATTATAGCCGTCAGCTTATGTTTACAATTACCTCACACATCAAACTATGAGTCTTATTTTACAATGGAGGTTGTTAGGCTGTTTGCATATATGAGGTTGTGTTTTCCATTTATTTGATTTCTGACAGTCATATTTCATTCTTTTCAGATGAAAACCCTCCTAATAGGAGAAAAAGGAGTGAACGCTCCATGTTCATGTACTTGTGGCGCAGCAAAACACAACCAAGGATTTTCGCGGAAGAAAACTTAACGCCCGAAAGTTGGGGTTTCCACAACTTCTGTCCAACAGAGCTCTTTGGGGATTACCATCTCCTACACCAGATCAATTAACACAACAGATGGGAAATAACACCACAGATGCTAGTACTGAGAGCCATCATGGCGTGTTGCATACACTTCCTGCTATGAATACTCAATCAATGGCTAGTACGTGTCAATATGACTTTCCAAATCCGTCTACGTCAGATGCGCCTAATTATTCTCCCGGCAATCCAATTCCGCATTTATCGTCAGCAATGTCAGACATGCAATCCAGTGATTCGGATTCGGATGAAGATGACGTCTCCCCTTTGTTCCGTCTTTTCAAGATGCTATTTCACATCATTCACATGCAATTTTATCAGGTAATGGCATTCAGTTTGCGGAGCCAATCAGCACTCCTATCCTGAATCAAATTAAGAGGGCTACCTGTAAAGCTATTTGGAGAAACAAGTATGTCGATATGGCAGACCTCCTACCGTCCTCTTTAAACCCTCAACCAACACATTACAATTTTCAAGTAGATAATCGCTCAATTTCACAATAAACCCTACATCCAAATCAAAAAGAATACAAAACATTGAAGTATGGACAACTGCATTTAAACGTTTTATGGCAGTATTCTTGCAACGGTTCCCACTAGAAGCCCAGCAATTGCTTAAATATATGGAGATCGTCCCAGATTTAGCTAAAACGACGTCCATGCTTTGCATTTTTATACTATGACACGCAATTTCGAATGTTGCAGGAGTCGCTTGCTCTTCCCTGGGATCGAATTCATACTGAATTCTGGTTACTCTCTGGGCGGCGGTTCCCTTTTGGCGGTTTTGTAACCTACCAGTTTTACCATTTGGAAAATTATTATAACATGTTTTATATGTAATAGTTTTATTTAATGTCAGTAATGGCATTTTCAATAAATGCCCTTTTTCATTCAACACATGGGTTTGTTTATATTTTCCCTATGGCAAACGAGTTCGATCTAGACTGCTCTTTCCCTGTTCTTGAATAAGATTTTATGAACACAAAAAATAATTTATGTCGTTGGCCGTTTTTTTTTCTCTTGATTACAAATTTTCCCTTTTACTGAATTGTTACGGTCAACATCAGTTTTTAGCTTTCTACATAAATTAACTTTTTAGCCAATGAGGTCGTGACTTTAGATCACATGATGCTTTCGAACCAATCAGGGCTCGTAAGCTTTCATAGCAAATATTTTATGGCGAAGGAGAAGTTCTCGCCATTTTTTTTCAACGAAATTCCACCACCTCCCCTAAGTCCGCCACCTTTTTAACAGTTACCCAGCTCTGGTTAACTTACTTTCATAATAGATAACATTGAATTTTGTTAATATTACATTTTCTTGTAATTGTTACATATCTTTATGCCTGTTATAATTGTAGCACCTTTTTTATCCTTGTACTAGTATGTTTCTTTACTATATCATTAATTTTATTGTATCTCTACAAATGTTAAAATAGTTGTACCTTTCTTTCTATTACGTAATTATGTTCTCTTGTATCAAGATATTTTGTGGGCGGTGTTGTAACCTCCCAGTTTTACCATTTGGAAAATTATTATAACATGTTTTATATGTAATAGTTTTAATTAATGTCAGTTATGGCATTTTCAATAAATGCCCTTTTTCATTCAACACATGTGTTTGTTTATATTTTCCCTATGGCAAACGAGTTCGATCTAGACTGCTCTTTCCCTGTTCTGGACAATACATAAATATAATAGTGTATTACAATTTTCTTCCGCGGGAATGTTGTTTTTATTCTTAATCAATTACATTTGTATCGCAATTACACGGTCCCCTATATTTACAACAGCCCCTATACCCCCTATATTCTATAGTTTGGCATTAATGAATTATAGAATATCCAGTTAATCTCGAAAGATATAAGTTAAGTTATAGTGAAACAATTTAAACTGCACAAACATTTAATTAGAATTATCCACCCAACATAACAGGGTTATTTTTCAAATACTTCGATCATCACACTAACATATATTTATATAAATGTTATTTGATGGTGGAGGTAGCATCTTATTACCTTTAACAATTGAACGTAAATGTTTTTTTGAGTCATCGAAATAAATACAAATGTACTAACTTGTTGTTTATCAACATCAATCAATGTTGTAATATTTCCATGAAGACAATCTTAAATTTCCATTCATATGTCCATACATTTCTATTCCCTGGTATTGATTATCAAACTGTCTATTCAAAAAATAAAGAATGATGTCTATTTCACCTGTCACTTGTCTCATAATCTATTTATAAATTGTTTCTCTAAGTTCACTTAAGGTTACTCAGTACTTGTGTTGTATTAAAGTCAAACCTGTACTCTCCAGACTTCGAGGTGTCATCATATGTGACCACAAAATTGTCTGAGTGTTTTATAAATATTTTAAAATTTTCAAATTCTGTTGTTGGTTTTTTATCACAACCTGCCATTTGTATTGTCACTGTTTGTGGTAGTTTGTTTATAACAGTAATGAGATTATATAACACTGGACAAGACATTGTTATATCACACAAGGTAACAAGTTCAATATTGGTCATTTGAGGTGACAATATTAATGATCTTTCACCTAGACTGATATCACACAACATCACATGTTTCACATGATGTAACAGTGGTAGTATTTGTAACATTGTTTCTATGTCACTGGAAGAATCTAGACCACCAAATGTAAATGTGTGTAGTTTACTGGCTGCTGGTAGTTGACTTAGATAAGATGACACAACACCAGGTTTATATAATTCACCTACAGTACATTCCTCTAACAACGAAACATCTATGTTTGATGGTGACACAGGTATCCCGAGCAATCCTAAACATCTTAGTTGTGAATGTTGAGACAGGTCAAGGGTGAATCCCCTACATGAAGTATCATGATCACTACAGTTTAAACTTTCCAATGTTATTTCTTTCATTGATTTTTTACTAGTGAGAAAATTTAACAATGTCTCCAATACCTCGTGGCTCATAGTGAAACTGTGTATATATAAACACTCCAGGTGTTGTAATTTTACTAGTTGTCCATTTATCTCTGCAGACAGCCGAAAAGGTTCTTCTAAAAATTTATGATTTTCCCATATACATGAACTCAAAGCTAAACATTTTAAAGGGTTCAACAACAAGCTCACTATTTCCTCTTCTACAATTTCACCACTATAGTACAATTTCTCTATATGTGGAAGGTCAGAGAGTGTAAACAAATTTACAATTTCTTGTAGACTACACATACCTTCATTTTCAATTATCATTGATTTTATGTTTTTTTTATTTTGTTGACACAGATGTCGTAATTGTTGGAAGTAGTTTTCTTGGTGACATTTTTCATTAATTATGAAATCTTGTAAACACAATTTAAGGTCTTTGTTTTCCATTCCTTCTTTGGCACACCAAATATACATATCTTGTATGTCTTGTAATTGCTGACTGTGCATGGAATACTGATCTATTCTAGTTCTGTATTTGCTCGTTTTTTCATCATTGTTTATCACAGGCATCAAATTACTTGATATTGCAGACATTAATTTAGGGTTCATGCTACTAATAAAGACAAACACTTTTGACATGTCTAGTATATTTTGTAAACAATTGCACTCTACAAAGATGATTTTCTGAACTTCACTTGTATTTCGGAAACTTATAAATATTGCTGAAAAGTATTCTTGCACTGTTTTATGTGAAAATGAGATCTTAGACCTCTCATTTAATAATGTTTTCACTTTACTTTCTGATAATATTCCTGATAGACAGCTTGATTTCAATTCATTTTGGGTAAGATATTTTTCAGCGATATATTTATCAAAAACTAGTTTACTTTCTTTTTTCGCCCTGAACAATGTATAGAAAGCTAGTTCCCCAATGTTAACCAGATACGTGTAGTAACTACAGAAATGTATATGCTTTCTGAAACATTCAGGAACATTACTTGTGGATGTTTCACATGATGAATGGAACTTTCCATATAATTTCTCAGTTCTGGATAGAATGAGCTGAATAATGCCAGTATATAATTTTACTGCAGAATTTCCAATTGGAATTTTTTCAATCCAAACACATATAAGATAGAGTAAAAGAAGAGGGGTAGATTCTACATCTTCAAGGTCATGGTCTCTAATTTCCTCTTCAAATCTACATACCTTTTGTATGAGTACATCATCTTGAAGGCTGACATTCAATATTTTCATGACATTGATCTTAAATTGCCTGGCACTTTCTTTGGTGAATTTAACTAGCTCTACTGTCCTGTCTATTGGACATGTCCTCAAGTTTGATATTCCAAGCTTCCACGACCGGGTCGTTGTTAAGATCACACACTTTTCACTTGCATATCGATGAGGAATAATTTTAGGAAGTCTTGAACAATCGTTGTCAGGATGAGTCCATTCATCTAGTCCATCCAATATAACAAGACATTTTTCATTACGTAGAATGTCATTTAAAAGATTTTTTGGTATTTCAGATTTACAAGGAAGATTATTTATGATTTGTTGTTTGATCATGTCGTATACACCACATTCTGTAGCTGAATCTCTTAATAGCACGAGAAACATAAACTCAAAGCCAGATAACGCTTGCAGCACATCTTCTTCAAAATGCTTGTAATTGTCATCATTTTTATGAGCTTGACACCATGTTATAGCGAGATACTTTGAAAATGCAGTTTTTCCAAAGCCAGCATCAGCGCATAAATAAATTTCTTTCAGATCATTACTTCCAGATGTAAATAGGCCTTGTAAAGACTTGACTCTAGTTTTTTCCTTCTTTCCACCGGGTAAGTTTACAAGAATGTTCATTCCTGGCATGACATAAAAACCAACGAGGTGGGTATCAAAACCATCTGTTAGTGGTGAAAGAGGAACTGTACTTTGAAAGGTATTGTACCATGTAATAAGTACATCTTTAAATTCTGAAATAGAGATAATATACGAACTAGTCGATATTTATAACTTAAGATTTTAAAGCAACTGCAAAATACAAAAACAGCCATGTATTGCTTATTTATGCATAATGATTTCAAAATTATTTGTTTTATTGACATAAAACAAACACAAAACCACTTATTTTTCACGTAAAGTTATTCCCTAGAATGTTCATTTCTATACCCCAGTGAAAACCTACGGAAGCTTATCAGGGCCTCCACTTATCTAAAAGTTTCATGGCATGTCAACTTGTTTCTTTTCGTTTTGACCAAAAACATTTCATGAAGACGTTATGACTAATACGTAAAACATAAAACATTCCTTGAAGACGTAATGATTAATACGTAATACGTAGAAGTTTTTAATCATTGCAAAAACACTTTGTTGAATTATGTGAGCTATTTGGCAATGCGAGTAACGTCTTTGCGTCTTACTAAATATATCAGCAAAGTCGTGAAATCAAAAAGTTTCAACAGGAATTTTGTCGAAGAGACAAAAGCTTTAAGCATATCGAGAAAAAATCAGTAGCAATGCCTTAAAGCTTCTCATCTTTGACAGTACATTTTATTGAGAAATGCAAAAACATACGATATTCCATAAAAACAATATGCTACGGAAGCTTATCAGGGCCACAGTCGGCGAGATGCTTTGCGCTAAGTCAATTCATTTTTTTGCATTGATAAGATGTTTTTGCATTTCTAAATGAAATTTACTGACAAAGATGAGAAGCTTTTAGACATTGCAACTGAATGTTTCTCGATATGTTTGAAGCTTTTGTCTATTCGACAAAAATCCTGTCGAAACTTCTTGATTTCAAGACTTTGATGAAATATTTAGTAACACGCAAAGACGTTACTCGCATTGACAAATATCTCACGTAATTCAACAAAGATTTTTGCAATGATTAAATTTTTTTACATATTACATATTAATCATAACGTCTTCATGGAATGTTTTATGTATTTACGTATCAATCATATTGTCTTCATGGAATGTTTTTGGTCAAAACGAGAAGAAAAAAGTTGACATGACGTGAAACTTTTAGATAAGTGGAGGCTCTGATAAGCTTCCGTAATATGCCATGAATATAAAAATGATGAATCAACAAAATTTATGTATTTCGACATCTTACCGTTTTATTTACATCTCTTGTTCTTCAGCTACTTTATGTTTTTAAAATTCAAACATTCAAATCTAAAAATAGTACAACTCATATTTATGGAAGATAGATAGCGCATTAAATCTTTTCTTGTTTTCATTTTATTTTCATTCGATAAAGGTGTACAAATACAGTATGGTATCCTTTGTATATTTTTCACAGGTTGACCATGTCACTACTATAAGATATTAAGTCAATATATTTATTTCGAAAGATTCTTGTTATTGCAAAATAAATATGTGATTAATTCAAGGCATATTACGCCTCAGAAATGAATAATTTTTAATTCTTTAGAAATGGCTATCATAAATTTTAAAGTGATTAAATGGCCGTTTGAGAGCATGTTAGATGTCGGGTACCTGTAGAAATTAGAGCTAAATGTGAAATATTTGGTCACAAAAGTCTCAAAAAGTAGACAAAGTAGTATTTTGACTTCCATACAAAGTTCTAGTACCCAATCAAGATGACTTTTTAAATGCATAAACAAGAGCACCGCTAGGCGGATCATTATGTTCCCGCAGGTGTTTTTTTTTCTTAGTAAGGATGAAGCACATGGGAGTTAAAATAAATTATTACCTCCTTCAAATAGCAATCCTCCTATGACGTTTGAATATTGTGGTTCAAATGGAACTTAAGTTAAGATCTGAAAACTGTGTAATACTAATATATAGTGACCTTGAACTTTGACTTTGTGACCCCAAAATCAATATGGGTCTCCTACCCAATGTGGACAATCATCCTATGAAGTTTGAACACTGAAGGCCAAATGGAGCTTAAGTTATGTTCTGGAAACTGTTTTCAGTTTCAAAGTATTAGTGACTTTGACCTTTGACCCCATGATTCTAAAATCAATAGGGGTCTTCAACACAATATAGACAATCATCCTTTGAAGTTTGAACATAGTGTGCCGAATGCAACTTAAGTTAAACTCCGGAAACTGTTCAGTTTTTAGGTAACAGTGTCTTTAACCTTTGACCTTGTGACCCCAAAATCAATAGGGATCTTCTACCCAATACGGACAATCATCCTTTGAAGTTTGAATACTGATGGCCAAATGGAAGTTAATTTATGTTCTGGAAACTGTTTTCAGTTTTAAGGTAATAGTGACTTTGACTTTTGACCTTGTGACCCCAAAATCAATAGGGGTTTTCTACCATATATTGGCAATCATCCTTTAAAGTTTGAATATTGTGGGTCAAATTGAACTTAAGTAATGCTCTGGAAACCAATTTGCTAACGCACTGACGGACGGACGCACGCACGGACGCCAGGGGCTATATCATAATACGCCCGAAATTCTTTCGGGCATAAAAAAGGCATGTTTCATTAATTGGCTAATGAGTAACTTTTTGGAAATTCTGAGTAATAAAATTAAAATTTATTCTAGGGCATAACGGGCCTTCAAATAAATTGCAAGCATTTCGTGCTTGAACTATCCAAAACAATATCAAAATGTATTTTTGTGAGCTTTCATTTTGCTGTTACTAAAGACTCTTAAGTATATACATGTACATATATTATATACGAGGTCTGTCCCACAAAGTCGAGGGCAATAATTATTGCTGTGTAACAAAAATAGAACGTCCAAGCATGAACTAGTTTTGCACAAATGTACCTCCATCAAGTTGGAGTGAGATATTAAAAAGCATGATTTTGAAAAAGTAAAATAAATTCACTGAATATTTATGTATGAATACAGGCCAAAGGTGTGCATTTGCAATCCACGCCAAAAATGTCAATTTAACAAATCTAAAACATAGTAAGTGGTCAATAATGTGAGAAATCTGCCTAATGTTTTATATTGACATTTTCCTTCTGTCTGACGCTAAATGGCAAAATTTCAAGGAAATTGCAAGACATGTATGTTAAGAGTGTATCTTTTACTTCATACATTGCTCATATAAGCACTTTGACGTGACGCAGCCCAGCAGATGGTAATAAATTTCAGCAGAATGACACATACGGTCATGTTAAAAAGGTTAAACACATTGGAAAAGTACCTGAATGTTTTACGAACAAAAAAGAAAAATAAAGTAAATAAAAAAAATAGACAAACATCAGTTTGCAGTATTTCATGAATTCTAGACTGTGAACAGTTGTATGTATGACATTTTGTGTATGTCTCGAAAAAAAGTGGCTTGACAACATACATGTTCTTCACAGCGATGAAGAAAACATATAATAATCTCACTAAACGTAATGATGATGTTAGAGCAGTGTGTGGACCGCATTGTGTTACGAGTTAGTCTTATAAATGATGGTCTGTGTAATCAAATTTTATTATATTGTTCTTTTGCATGATCACCCAGCAATGGCATATAAAATACCGTTATTTTTAGAAGCCCAGTTACACGTCGTTGTCCATGACCTATTAAGTCAGCCTTTGATCTTATATATATGAAATTTTAAGAACAATTGATGAAATTAAATGCGTACTTTCATTTTCACTGTATTTTCTTCCACTACTATGTAACATATTTTCCGTAATTTTACTGGGGTCTTGCCAGATAACTTGCTTCTTAATTCAGCAAATACACAAAATTAAAGGGGAAGTATTTCAATTTGTGAGGTCAAAAAGGGAAATATATATACATGTATAAAATAAACATGCATTTTAAGTTATTTTCTATAGATACCGATTTTATAGTAAAAACTTGAATACCTCCTATGTTTTAGTCCATATGTGAGAACGATCTATTGGAAATTAAAAAAGAAATAGTAACAATATTTCTGTGAGGTTCTGTTTGTGAAATACCGAAAATCAAACTGATCACTAAAAAGGGAGAGTTAGATATGAACTTTTTATTGTGAATGTTAAACCATTATTTGTAATTTAAATCAGAGAACTGTGCCATTATCAAATAGCACTAAGATATAGACAGCTACTGACAAGTAATAAAAGTCATTTGGTCTATAATGGAAGGTCTGTAATACTATGTATATTTACGTCGATAGTAATAAGTTTAAGATGTAACATCAAACAACGAAATAACTTTTAATGGAAGTTGCTGACAAGTGTGAGATACATGATCCAATATAACATATGTTTATATAGCAGATAATAAATTGTCTAGAACAAACTATATTTATTTATCATATAAATGTTCATAACAAATCACTTATAATTTCTATCAACTTTTATCAACACTTTCTCTTAAAGATGAATATGAATATCTAAATGATACATTTTTATTGTTTATATAATTTTGTTAAAATATTTTAGGAAAATATGCCAATTGTAGACCAACCCACTTCAATTAAATGACCATGGTTTACCTTTCCAAATCAACTCTGAGTATGCATATCTGAAAATGTTACTAACTTAAAAGACATGCATTTAAAGGTGACAAAGTTTTATGTGGCGATTTATTCAGTATAAAAGACCTACCCGTGATGATAATGATACAAATAAGAAGTCTGGGTTGGCTTAAGTTCGAAACTGGAGTTATAATTCAAATATCCTTTATAGCATGAGTTCACAAGATGTTTTATGTTATTTTTATCACCCGCATTTCCAAAGAAAATAGATGAATATAAAAATGCGCTCTGTCAGTCTGTCATACTTTCGTGCCCGGTTCATAACTAGGATATTTATCAAATGAATTTGAAATAACTTAGTGCAAATAATTTTAAAATATGATGATTTGTCACGCGCAAAACCCGGACCCCTGTCCCGTTTCCATTTCCAGCGTAAAATACACATCAAAGGCATATCATACCACATATAGCCTCCTCTTTATTTTTAAGTCCAGCCTATCTATATCAAATGCAAATAGTAGTCCATCTAGCTTCGTTTCCAGTTTTATAGTCCAAAAAACAAACCCTTGTACACGAAACAACAAAATGTTGTTCGAGCGTCAAGTTACTCAAACCCTTGTACACGAAACAACACAATGTTGTTCGAGTGTCAAGTTATGGTGTAACTATCTACACTGGTAAGTTCATTTAAGAATGTTATTTATAAATTATTCTAAGTAAGGACTAAGGATTTTTCTAAGTTGGCTTACAATGTGAAATTATAGTTAGATATAGTTATTTGTGTCAATATTCATTACTATTATATTATATTTTATTACATACTAATATGTTATATTTGTTTAAATACAAAACTTGAGCAATATATATATATATATTCAATTATAATTGGAATTTGCTACATTTAATCCTACTATCGAATAAATGCTTGCGAGGACCAGTGTGGTTTTGGCAATATGTATCATCAAATATGGGCTTGAGCCCATCTGGCCACAATGGTAGTGTGAAATAAAGAGATCATAATGCATTGTTGAGAACAATACTATTAAACTCGTACATAGCTGCAAAGCCTTAATCACACTCGGCTTTTGCCTCGTCCAATACAGGTTTATCAATTGTGTACTCATCCAACATAATTCAATATTGTCCAAACATCATAAACTGATATTATATAAATGAGGGATGATTCAATAACTTTTGCTTTTGCTGAAACAAAATTAGTAAAATAGAGAAAATAATTATCCATAAAGAAAGTCCAAAACGGCAAAATTGAAAATGTTGCAGGCTCGGTTTAATTGAGTCCGTTTGTGGGCGGTACTGTAAAATGCAAACAACCGTCCACGCCCCCTAGCAGCGCTTAAAGCAGAGTTCAACATTTAAACATGTAAAATGATAGATGGAAAGAAAACCGTATGTTAAAGTAAATTTGAACATTTAATTAATTTGACAACACAAGAGCCGGTTGAACCGGATGATTCTCCCCGAATAGACACAGGAAAATATACCTCATATTGTGTCAGAGATTTTTGTCTCGGACAAAGATCAAAGTGTAAAAATAAACAAAGGGAAATAACTTCAAAATAAGGCAAGGCAGAGTTATGGTTATTTTGCCTGATGAGATCTATCTATCTAATAAGTTTCATGGTGATATCTCTTATAGTTTTTGAGTTATGTCCTTGACAAAGTTGAAAGTGTAAAAATTAACAAAGGTCAATAGCTTCAAAACTAGGTAAAACAGAGTTATGAGATATATCTACCTATAAAGTTTCAAAGTGTTACAATGCACAAAGGGCAACAACTCCAAAATTAAACAAGACGGACAGACGCTGTAGTCGAGGACATAAAAAGTAAAATAAGACTACTCTACTTACTCTGTTTATCATCAATGTACTGTTTCTCCTTGTCATCATTAATCCTTGTGTAGAGTGTTTCTTCTAGAGTCTCTGCTAAATTGGCTTTATCGATTCTCCCCTTATCTCCTTCTTCTTTGATAGTTTCAACTGCTCTTTCACATTCTTCTCTTATTCTCTTGCTTTGTGTTTTTACCTTTTCCTTTTGAAGCATTATTTGAACTGAGTTTTCTCTAGCCTTTTCTATGTCTTTGACGCTTTTGTCAGCTTGGTTTTCAATTGTTTTTAACGAATCATCGATTTTAGTTTCATTCTGTTGCAATCCATCATGAGATTTTGAGTCCAGAGAAAGAAGATCTTCTTGTTTTCGTTTAATCAGTTCTTCAGTTATAGTGTCCCGAGTTGCTTTCGCAACATTATCAAGTACTTTCATTATATCATCTTTTCCAATAACCAGGATGTCATTTTCTAGCTATATTATAAAACAAGTTATGTCAAAATAACCATATGCCCGATTCTATTACCTTTAATGGGTAGTAAAATAAGTAATCATTAAAAAAGCCACAGAAAAAACGTGTACATATGTATCATATATGTAAATGAATAAAATACAAGAGGAGGACCACCATGCCCTAATATCACTCACCTGATTATTGATGATCTGAATTAATATTGTTAGCAATGAATGAAAAGCAGATATAATGCCATATATTGAAACTAATATCATTCCATTCATATCTGCACCTGAAAAAAGTTGAAATGCTAATAACGGTTTTCCAAAGTAATGCCTTTGTATGTGCTGTGACCTGTCTTTGACCCAAGATGACCCATATTCAAACTTGAGCAACAAATAAAAAAAGGAGTTCCTGGTGCATTTCCAGGATATTTGGGCTAAAATTATAATCTCTAGAGTGATAATAAATTATTTTCCATTTTTGGTCTGTGTGAACTAGATGTTGACCATGGCTGACTCATGTTTAAATTGAAGCGAGAAATAAAACAAGTTTTCAGGATATTTGGGCTGAAAATATTACCTCTAGAAAGTAAACAATGTTTTTTTTATAACTGGGCGGCGTGACCTAGGTTTTGACACAAAGGTGACCCATATTCAAACATGACCTAGAAACTATCTACTTAAACCTTTTGAAAACTATTTCTATGACATTTACACAGAAACAGTGACCTCTACAGCATTAACTATGTTCTCCAATATTTGGGCTGAGTGTCCTAGTTTTTGATAAAAGATGAACCGTATTTGAACTTGAGCTAGAAATCATCAAAATGTTCTCAGCTTCTAACCAATTTATTTGGACCAAAACAATAACCTAAAGAGTGTTAACTAGGTTTTCTTTTTCCATATTTGGGCTGTGTGACCTAATTTGTTATCCCTGATGACCCATAGTTGACCTTGAGCAGGAAATCATCTTACCCATTTTAAGAATATCTAGACCCTAGAGTGTAAACAAGGTTTATAATATTTCATTTGTGTGACCTAGTGTTTTGTCTAAAGATAATCTATATTCAAACTTTACCTAGACATTATCTTTACAACCTGTTTGAACAATTTAGGACCAAAACAATAAAGTGATAAGAAGGTTTTTCCATATTTGGGCTGTGTGACCTAGTTAACAAACCAAATTGACCCATATTCAAACTGCCCTAGAAATAATCAAAAATCAGTTCTGACTAATTTCAAGAATATTTGGACTAAAAACATAGTCCCTAGAATGTTAACAAGTTTTTTTCATATTTAAAAACCAATTGCCCCAGGGTGGGCCTATTTGAGACAAGCTGCAAACTTTAAACAACTTCGTCAGAGGACATATAGATGGTATAATTTATCAAATATCAAACCTCTAAGCTTTCTCTTCAGAAAACAAGATTAAGCTTTTACTATATGTACATATTGAAAATCATTGACTCCTGGGGCCAGACCAATTTTGACCCCAAGACAATAATATAATTTTAAAAATCTAAATAGAGGTCTACTACACAATGTACGATGTCAAATGTCTAACGTTAAGCCCTTGTTAATTCAGAGTAGAATATTATTTTTTTACTGTATACATATATGGGAATATAAAAGACATCCTTGGCGAGGCCAATTTTACCCCATGGCTCTAATTGGAACATATTTTGTTGAGTTTTATTCAAAGATGCTACAAACAAAATATTTAAGGTTAAAGCCTTGCACTTTTAGAGAAAAAGAATTTTAAAGATTTCAATTTTAATTTGTTCAGCCCTTTCGAGCAAGATGTTTCATGAAACAGTACCATTTGAGCAATTTTAGAAGCGATTTGTGCAAGGAACATCCCAGCAAAATTTCACTGAGTGGTTTTTGAGAAGAAGTCGTATGTAAAAATGTTGACGACAGATGCACGTTCGCACTGACGGACGATGGACGCCGGACAAATTTTGATCACAAAATCTCACTTTGAGCATCCTTTGCGTGTGAGCTTAAAACAAGTACAAAAAAGGAATACTAAATCTTAAGGATAACAAGAGCTATCGCCAAGAAGCTTACTTTTGAGTTCAAACACATTGAAGAAAGAATAATGCAGTTAAAAATACTCATAGAAAATATTCCCATTATTATCAAATACACTGAATAAATTACAAAAATGGCAAATTGTTTGCGAAATTCACTTATTTGACCTTTTGTGACAAGTTCAAATTAAGGTCAATGTCAAGTTTAATTAAATCTTATTTGCCTTGTACCATCCATTTTGGTGCCAAAGAATAAGACATAAATGTACAAAGTTACAGCCCATAAAATGAAATAACATTTTTTGATTTTCAAGGTCATGGTCATTTACATGTCAATGTCATACTGGGTTTAATCTAATTTAAAACATTCTCCTAAGGTAAATGCGCTCCTCAAGAATGAAGATATTCCCTTTATGAATATATAAGTATAACCAATAATACAAAAATCCAAGCACAATTCAATAATTTGACCGTCAAGGTCAGTGATGGGCGAATGTTACGATTAAATTTATGAAATTCTATAATTAGACCTTCAAGGTCAAGGTTTTTGATGAATGACAGTCATACTCAATTTGGTCTTTATTTAGGTTTTTTTCTTCATAAGGATGATAGTGTTAGTGTATGAAGACAATCTATTCATAAATAACAAGGTTATGTCCATTTTAAGCAAACATCAAATATTTGATTTTATTTCGGGTGAAGTTCATGTTCATCCGGTTATCATTCAAATGGGTTTTGTGTCAAATATGAAAGTAGTACATTGAGAAATAAAAATACATGTATTATGATTATGAAAATGGATGAAAGCTTTTGGAAGGCAACAGTAAAGACAAAATCGTCAGCAACGGCAACAAAAGTATGACTATAACAAAAATTGCTTTTTGTCTTTTTCGAAAAAGTTGACCTAACAATGTGATAAAATGATGACACTTTATACAAACTGAAAATCACCCTCATCTAAAGAATATACTTAGTAATCAATTCGATGGTTTTTTTTGTGCGTAAGGTAAAATGTTTATAAAGTAACTTGATGTGTGCATTAATAGAATTATAAAGCATGATTTCAAACAACAGCTTGTTTTGTTAACTGAAAAAGTGTGCTTATTTACATCTATCAGCTTCTGTTTGGCATGTTGTGCGTGCATGTCTGTAGCTAAATATCCGGCATCAGAAAGAAGTTGTTGTAATACTATGAAGTATTGATGAAGATCTGTATCTTCAACCTCTAAAGTTGATGAATGCCTCAAATTTCTACCAATTTCTCTTGCCTGGTAAAAGTAAAACATTTTAATCAATTCTACAACAATTTTTATGTTTTGAATTCAATTAACAAAGATAAACTAGGACTATCACTAAATGTGATTAATACCATCGCAAGACTGCTTCGGAAATGAGGATTTTACTAGTAACAGAATACCTTTTAAAACAATTGAAATACAGTTATGCGGGCAATTAAAGATAGTTGTGGTTCTTGTATGTTGCATTTCCTTTCAATGTGGTTGGCCATTGATGAAGTTTTATTGAATTACTCTGCAATAAGTCAAGAAAGACAAGGAAAAGGAACAAAGGGCAATAACCTTATAAATACTGAAGATGGAGTTATGGTTATTGTACACTGCACTTCCTCTCATTGCACTTGACCATTGTATGAAGTTGTATTGAATTCCAACTACAAGTTTTCAAGTTATGCACATAACAAAAAAGTAACAAAGGGCAATAACTGTAATTAGTCCAAATAGAGTAACGGTTCTTAAGCACTGCACTTCATCTCACTGCCCTTGACCATTGTATAAAGTTTCATTGAATTCCAACCATTAATTTTCAAGTTATGCACTGGACAATAAAAAGTAACATAGGGCAAAAACTTTTAAATGAGTAAAAAAAGAGTTATGATTTCTGTACACTGTGCTTCCTCTCAATATACTTGACCATTGTATGAAATAGTATTGAATTCCAACTAGTAGTTTACAAGTTATGCTCTGGACAATACAAAAGTAATGGTAAAGTAACAAAGGGCAATAACTCTATAATTACTCTGGACAAGATGAAGTTATGGTTCTTGTGCATTGCACTTCCCCTTATTGTGCTTGACAATTGTATGAAGTTGTTTTGCATTACGACCAATAGTTTTCAAGTTATGCCCTAGACAAGGAAAAGTAACAAAGGGCAGTAACTCTGTAATTAGTCAAGATAGAGTTATGGTTCTTGTGCACTGCACTTCCTCTCAATGTGCTTGACCATTGCATGAAAATATATTGAATTCCAACCATTAATCTTCAAGTTATGGTCCGGACAAAAGAAAGCAATGGAAAAGTAACAAAGGGCAATAACTCTGTAATTACTTTAGATAGAGTTATGGTTCTTGTGCACTGCACATCCTCTTATTGTGCTTGACAATTGTATGAAGTTGTTTAGCATTCTCAAGTTATGCTCCGGACAATGAAAAGTAACAAAGGGCAATAACTCTGTAATTAGTCAAGATAGCGTTATGGTTCTTGTGCACTGCACTTCCTCTCAATGTGCTTGATCATTGTATGAAGTTATATTGACTTCCAACCATTAGTTTTCAAGTTATGCTCCGGACAAGGAAAATGCAACGGACCGCTGGACCGACCGACCGACCGACCACCGGGTGACTCCTATATACCCCCCCCCCCCAAACTTCGTTTTTGGGGGTATAATAATTGTGAATTAGATGAAATTGATAATGCAATGTTATAAGGTTAAATCGTAGTTGGCTTATTCACTTCTTTATAAGGGATGTATATAAATGAAGCTGTAGAGATAGTTATACAAATAATAATACGGACAATAGATTTGTTAACGTTATTGCTTTCAAACAACTTGCTCCTCACCGCTGAAACAGTTAATTGACATTGTTTTCACGTTTTTTTTATATAGAGGTATTCTTATGACTACTTCTGTCAAAAACTGTATATAAAAAGTGTTTACCTGCTCGAAAATGTTGTTCTTGTTGCCTAGGTTTTCATGTATTTTCCCCTGGAAGTCTTTGTGATTAATGATAACACTAATGATGCCATTGAAGTCTGTGTCGTGTGCACTAACTATATCTTTATAGCCATCTGGGGGCATGAAACATTTCGCTATCTCCCAGGAATTACTGCACCACTGTGTAGCATCGGTGTTTTTGTACGATGGACCATAGTACCTATGTACATTTTGTGTCTCAGTTGAGAAATTATGACATATCTTGTTAGGGCAGCCGGCAGGATTATACCTTGTTGCAGCATTTCGATGATAACTGCATTTTCCACGTCCAACACTACATATTCTATTTGTAGGACATTTAATAACATTTTCTGTACAGCAATTTGAACACAAAGTTCCGCTTATTAATCTGTTGTTGTAGCAAATATCATTTAAACATTTCAACCGGAATTCTTGAACTTCATGACATACAAAAGGCTCAAGTCCATCTTTAGTAAACAACACTGCTAACTGAGCTTTAACCCAGTTATTGTATTTCTTCTCTGAAAGTTTTTGGCTATATGAAGCCATTGTTTACTTCGTCTTACTGAGGTTATTTTATCATATTGTTGAATGGCAATCTTAATCTAGAAAATAACAATTACTGGTGTTAACGTGTAATTTATTCAGTTTCATTATTAATTAAACTTTGAAATGATGTTTAACTATCTTAAAAAGATGAACACACTTTATTCAGATAGTTAAAAATAACTGCATTACGAGTAGAAATTAAAACTCATTACCACAAATATATCATTTGACCTAGGCGGATGAACGGGTGGACGGACGGACAAAGCGGTGACTATATGCCTATCCTTAGGAGAGCACATACTCCCTCATATACAGACTCAATCAAATTGAGTCTGCAATTTTCATGTAATTTCTTGTGATTAATGCTTCCGAGGGAGCACTTTGTTTCCATATTTCTAAATCTAATACTAGTACATTGTTAAAATTGATTCAAATTTGAATTATTCAACATATTGACTTTGTAAAAAGTGTTATGAAAATTAAAATTAAATCCCTATATAAATAACAAAGTTATGGCTTACGTAAGCAAATATCACTGATCTGACCTTTAATGTCAACATGAAATCAAGGTCAAGGTCAAGTTTAATTAAATGATGACAATCCATTTTTCACTTATAACATCTGAAATATGAGAAACAAAATTAACAAGGAAAGGCTGCGTTCAATGAACGAAACCCAACACGACCCACATGTAGCCAATAATAGCAAAAAAGTGAAATTATAATAATTTGACTTAAATGTCAATATAATTAAGGACTTGAGGTCAAATTTAGTTTGATCTTCTTTCCGATATTGTCTTTTAGGTACATTTCTGTTTAAATATTAAGATAAGCAATTCATAAATAACTAACTTATAACTCATACAGCAACAATCATGCAAGGTTTTATAAGTTGATCTTCAAGGTCCCTAATTTATAAAGGTCTTCGTCAATGTGGTTTACTTGAAGGGCTATTCCACATATTAATACTGTCCAAGTATGAAAACAATTAATGTAAAAAATAAATAAATAGAACAACATTATAGATTGTGAACATCAACGGGCATGACTGTTACTTTACTAAAAGAGTGAACAGTAGTTATTATACAAACACAATGCACTGATGAATAAGATATTTTCACCTATTAAGATTGAAGTTGATACCTTGATACTTTTAAAGTTATGCTCTTGAAAATTTAAATATAAACAAGAGCACCGCATGAGGTGTTTACACTCATCTTTTGAGGGCGACGATTATCAATGATTTGTTTTTATAAATATTCAAGCTAAAAGTGACTGGACACTTCAAAGTATTGCTCGGGATAATGTCCCGAGTCTTAAAACTGCGTTTTTCTAAAAAATCAAGCATTCCAAGTTTCCAAGATAGCTTAAATTATCAAAATTATTCTATTTAACTAAAAAAATTGACAAAAAAATGAAAAAGGCCATTACTGCAAATTAACTATTTTCAGAATTATAAGTTAACAAATTTGCTCTCTCATGAAAAAATAAGAATTCCAAGGTTCGTGTTGATAACTTTCATAATGTTAGAATCGTTCTATAAAATTAATAGGCAATTTTGACAAACATCTTGAGGCAAATCTTCAATAATCTAGCTTTCAAACTAACAATGTATGCCCTTTTATCTGTGCATGGTCATTATAAGCAAATATTCCAATTTTTGTGTTAATATCTCTTAAAATGTTTGAATTACGGACTAGATTAAAGTTTTTGCACCATGACGATGACATTATAATAAGTCGACCTTTTCTTTAACCCAGACAATCTTAAATATAAACAAGGTTAGCTTTAAAAATAGGTAGTAGTGACTCGATTTTTCATTTCTATTTCCTGGGGTGTTTTAATGTCAAATTGACAGATCTCTCAATTTAACAACAACCTGGATAATGATTGAATTAATAAAAATGAATATTACATTCATTACAATAGGGCAATTGGCAACAAGGCGACCACCTAAGGACTAAATATATCAGGATGCATCCACATAGAAAGAATTTAAGTCAGTAGTTGCTAAGAAAAATCACTGGTTGCTATGGAGTCACTGTTTGCTATGGAAAGTCAATTGTTGCTATGGAAATGTAATGGCTCTAATGGGAAGTCAGTGGTTACTGGCGAAAGTCAATGGGTGTTATGGAAAGTCGCTGGATGTCACGAAATATCACTGGGTACTAAAAACGTCTATGCTGGCAATTTAAAGTCACTGCTTGCTATGGGAGACACTGGTGGATATGGGAAGTCATTGGTTGTTGTTGAATTCAGTGGTTGTTATGAAAAGTCACTGGTTGCTATGGAAGTAAATGGTTGCTAGGGAAAGGCAATGGTTGTAATGGAGGTCAATAGTTTCTAAGGAAAATCACTAATTGCTATGGAAGTCACGGTTTGCTATTGAAAATCAATGTTTACTAGGGAAAAGTAACAGTTCTTATGGGAAGTCAGTGTTTCCTAGGGAAAGTCAATGGTTGCTGAAGAAGTCAGTGCTTGCTTTTAAAAGTCACTGGTTGCTATGGAAGACAATAATTGCTTAAGTAAATCACTGGTCGATATTGAAATCACTGTTTGCTATGGTTGCTAGAATGGTTGCTATGGATATCAATGGTTTCTAAGCTTTCACTGGTTGCAATGGAAGCCACTGTTTGCTATGGAAAATCAATGGTTGCTAGGGAAAGTCAATGGTTTTAATTGGAGGTCAGTGGTTGCTAGGGAAAGGCAATGGTTGCTATGAAAAGTCAATGGTTGTTATGGAAAGTCACTGGATGTCATGGAATGTCACTGGTTACTAAGGAAGTCTATGTTGGCAATTGAAAGTACCTGCTTGTTTTGCCAGACACTGGTTGCTATGGTAAGTCAGTGGTTGCTATGGAAGTCCGTGGTTCCCACGAAACGTAACTAGTTGCTATGGAATCCATGGTTGGTTGGTAAAGTCAATGTTTTGCATGGTAGTCAATAGGTGCTAAGGAAAATCATTCGTTGCTATGGGAAGTCAGTTGTAGGTTTTGAAGTCAGTGGCTGCTTCAAAAAGTCACTGGTTGCTATGGAAGTCAATGGTTGCTTGTGAAAGGTAATGATTCTGATTGGAAGTCAATGGTTTCTTTAGAAAAATCACAGGACGTCAAAGAAAATGTAACTGGGTACTAATGAAGTCTTTGGTGGCAATTGAAAGTGGCTGCTTGCAATGCGAGACACTTGTTGCTATGGGAAGTCAGTGATTGTTATGGAAGTCAATGGTTGCTAACGAAAGTAATGATTTTATATTGCATTCAAAAATTGCTATAAAAATCAATGGTTGCTGAAGAAAGGTAATGGTTCTGATGGGGAGTAAGTGGTTGCTAGGGAAAGTGAATGGTTGCTTTGGAAGTCAGTGGTTGCTTTGAAATGTCACTGGTTGCTATGGAAGTCACTTTTTGCTATGGATAATCAATTGTTGCTAGAGAAAGGCAATGGTTCTGATGGGAAGTCAGTAGTTGCTAGGGAAAAGCAGTGGTTGATGTGTAAGTCAGTGGTTGCTTTAAAAAAGTCACTCGTTTCTATAGAAGTCAATGGTTGCTAGGGAAAGTCAATTGTTGCTATGGAAATCAATAGTTGCTAAGGAAAATCACTGGTTGCTATGGTAAGACAGTGGATGTCACATAATATCACTGGTTGCTAAAGAAATCTTGCAAAGATCTTGCAAAGTCGTAGTTTGCTATGCGAGACACTGGTTTCTATGGGAAGTCAGTGGTTGCTGTTAAAGAAAATGTCACTGGGTACTAAAAAAGTCTTTGGTGGCAATGGAATGTGGCTGCTTGCAATGCAAGATACTTGTTGCTATGGAAATTCAGTGATTGTTATGGACGTCAGTGGTTGTTATGAAAAATCAATGGTTGCTATGGAAGTCAATGGTTGCTAGCGAAAATAAATGGTTTATATTGCATTCAATAGTTGCTCAAGAAAATCACTGGTTGCTATGGAAGTCAACGGTTGCTATGGAAAGTCAATGGTTTCTACGAAATTCAATAGTTTCTAAAGAAAATCAATAGTTGCTATGGAAAGGTTGTGATTCTTATGGGAAGTCAGTTGTTGCTAAGGAAACTCAATGGTTGCTATGGGAAGGCATTGGATGTCACGGAATGTCACTGGGTGCTAAAGAATTCTATGGTGGCAATTAAAAGTCACTGCTTGCCACTCGAATTACTGGTTGCTATGTTAATCAATGGCTGCTATGGAAAGGTAATGTTTCTTATTGGAAGTCAGTGGTTACATGGGAAAATTAATGGCTGCTATTGGAACTCGCTGGATGTCACATAAAATCACTGGTTGCTAAATAATTATTTGGTGGCAGTTGAAAATCACTGCTTGCTATGCGAGACACTGGTTGCTATGAGATGTCAATGGTTGCTATGGAAGTCAATAGTTGCTAGGGAATTTCAATAGTTGCTATGGAAAGAAAATGGTTCCTATGGGAAGTCAGTGGTTTCTAGGGAAAATCGATGGTTTCTATGGTAAACTGCTGGATGTCACGGAATGTCACTGTGTACTAAAAAAGTCCATTCTGGCATTTGAAAGACACTGCTTGCCATGCAAAATATTTGTTGCTATGGGAAGTGAGTGGTTGCTATGGACGTCAATAGTTGCTACGGAAAATCACTGGTTGCTATGGAAGTTTTTTTATATGGGAAAACAATGGTTGCTACGGAAAGGTAATATTTCTCATGGAAAGTCACTGTTTGCTATGTAAACTCAGTGGTTGCTATGAAAAGGTAATTGTTCTTCTGGGATGTCAGTGGTTGCTAAGGAATGTCAGTGGTTGCTATGGAAGTCAGTGATTGCTTTGAAAAGTCACTGGTTGGTTTTGAAAGCCACTGCTTTCCATGCGAAATACTGGTTGCTATGGGAAGTCATTGGTTGCTATGGAAGTCAGTGGTTGCTTTGAAAAGTCACTGGTTGCTATAGAAGTCACTGATTGCCAGAGAATTCAATAGTTGCTATGGAAGTCAATGGTAGATAGGGAAAGTCAATGGTTGCTATGGACGTCAGTAGTTGCTAAGAAAAATCACAGGTTTCAATGAAGGTCACTGTGTTGCTAGGGAAAGTCAGTGGTTGCTTTGAAAGTCAGTGATTGCTTTGAAATAACACTGGTTGCTATGGAAGTCAATTGTTGCTAGGGAAAGTCAATGGTTGCTATTGAAGTTAATAATTGCTAAGGAAATTCTTTGATTGCTATGGTAGTCACTGTTTGCTATGGTTGCTAGGTAAAGTCAATGGTTGCTTTGGAAGTCAATTATTGCTAAGGAAAATCACTAGTTGCAACGGAAGTCACTGTTTGCTACGAAGAATGAATTGTTGCTAGGGAAAGGCAATGGTTCTTATGGGAAGTCAGTAGTTGCAAGGGAAAGTCAGTGGTTATTTTGTAAGTCGGTGATTGCTTTAAAAAGTCACTCGTTGCTAGGGGAAGTCAATGGTTGCTAAGGAAAGTCAATTATGCATTGGAAATCAAAAGTTGCTAAGGAAAATCACTGGTTGCTATGGAGGACACTGTTTCTTATGGAAAGTCAATGGCTGTTATGGAATGTCACTGGTTGCTATGGGAAGTAATTGGATGTAAAAGAATGTGACTGGTTGCTAAAAAAGTCTATGGTGGCAATTGAAAGTAGCTGCTTGCTATGCAAAACATGGGTTGCTATGGGATGTCACTGATTGCTATGGAAGTTTGTGGATTTTTCTGAGACGTATAAACGTCATAATTCTATAATAATCAAAAGGAGTTTCGGAATCAAACTTTCATGTTTAATTTCTCGGATATCTTGTATTTCTCGGGATACATGTGTGTGCATTTTACTGAGTTATCAATGGCATTTTATAAGTATGCCCCTTCATAACGATTTCGATCCTGAAACTCATGTGCATGAAAATATCGAAAGACACCAAATACCCTCAACTTTTCAGGTGTTTGTTTATGATAATATATGATTATTGATGTGTTCAAGTATGTATTTTCGCTTTCATCTAAAATGATATTCATTACATTAAAATATATAAACATGAGGGTGAAAATGAATAAAGCGAAACTATTGAGTACGATTAGGATTATGTTTTGTTCATGATGGCGTATTCGATCTTTGCTACAGGATAGTATTGATAAATTGCATGACATAATTGATCATCAAAGGCGTCCGTGGCAGAATGGTAAACATTTGTAAAGGTAAAAGTATATATGTATTGTAAAACAAAAAAAAAATGAAGATTTATTTATTTTATGTTTTATAATTTATTTTCCAAGTCTAAATGACCCTTCATCAACTGATATTTTGCACAAATAATAACTGTCTTTTTTAAGCAATAACCGCAACGAAATAAATTACTCAAATAAAATCAGTTTTACGTCGTCCGAGTATCTATTTTTTAAGATACTTCTTGTTTCAATAGCTATATAGTGTATAATACTTGTAGACAACACAGTTTAAACTACTTTTTTTTCTAATTCACCTGACGAAACACATCAAAATATAGAAAAAAATCAAACAAACTAACCTTTTATTTCATCCATTATTCTAGCTTCCTCCTTGTCCTGGTTCAGTTAGATCTACGCATTTATGTCATTTTAAGTCACGTGATTTACAACCTGTAGTTATACCCACCAAATATTCAACAAGTTTAAACATGGGTAAACAGATAGCGCCAAACAAATAAACGAGTGTATTCAAGTGTAAAATATACTTCAATTGTGCATTCATAAATGACATTAAATATCACAAAGCTATATTTAAAATGTAATATATAGAGGATATTTGTTTGTGTGTAAGATGAAATTTTATTTCATCGAGTGGGCTTTTAAAAAAAGTATTATGAGTATGAGAATACTGTTTTTAAAGTTCACGAGATGAAATTAAATTACATCTGACACAAAAAACAAACAATTTTTCTTTTTATTGTATGCTTAAAAACAAGTTAAAACGAAATTTCCATAATATTAACGTTAATATTAAAATCTGTTTTCCCCATTGAGAACCCCATTTTGTCGGAATTTCTCATTAAATACAAGATGTCTTGAGTTGAATAATAAGTTCGGCAATCAACGTTAAATGACGGTGATATTATTCATTTTATTAAAAAATTAAGAATGATCGCTGGTTTTAATAATTAAAACAAACAATTCTTGTAGGAGAAAAAGTCCAATCATCCATCCATATTTCTGTTACTTACTGCGAATTTATATAAGACCTGGCTTTTTTAAATGTAAGCGGTAGCCATTTTTTTAAAGTTGTGTATTTCACGGGTGGAAAATAATTGTGTTTGATTCAGAGGGATATCATTTAGATTTGTTAGTCATACACCTTGTTAAAAGAAAGAAAACTTATTTGAGGATTGTAACAGACAAAAAATGTGTTGACAAATGTGAAAAGATTCAAAAAGCAGCTAGGAAAATGGAAAACTTGGAAGCTGGCTCAGGAACGCTGGGTTTTTTACTTATTCTTCGGGCTGATGGCAGTCATTGCTTTTCAAATTTTCATAAAGCATACGGCAGTTATTGCCCGTAGGATACTTTAATATGCCCACATGTAATCAAGAGCAGTTTTGCATGGGGAAGGAATGTATTTTTCAGACTGTAAAAATGAAAAAAAAAAAAAAAAAATAAGAGACGAAATTTGGTGATTGGAATTTGAATAAATAGAAGTAAGTTTTCTTCTTTTTATTACTTTTGACATTTAAGTTATTTATCAATTTCAGCTTTGCTTTTTCTTTAAACAGCCTGACATTGTCAGAATTGTCAGCAAAAAATAAAATTGAGGTACTACATGGGGAAAATCTTAAAAAAGTAGTTTCGTCATTGAAAAGCGTGAACTTATATTTTGATAATTTTCACAGTGAAATTATCAAAAATAATTTTCACAGATAAATCAGTAATCCACTGAAAAGCATAAAATAAAAGTCTCTGTTGATATGTATGGAGCGCAATGTATCTAATTAAAAATGCGAATTCAAAAATATAGATATATATCTGTTATTATTATTATTATTGTACTAAATTCATGCAAGAGTTATCTTTCTTTTTACGAGAAAGATAATATATTACTACATGTATCTCAATGTATATATATATATAATATATATTATATATATATATATATATATATATATATATATATATATATATATATATATACAAATTCTGATTGTAATTTAAGGAGAACATGATGTTCAGATTACTAGGCTTAACAAATTTATATTAAAGTCATACTTTAAATGATATGAAATGAAATTATTAAGAATATTAAGCTTACTTAAGGCCTCAACAGACGGTAGAATTTAGTTGTACATCACTAATTAGAGAAAAAATGTACAATTTTCAAAGCTATACAACACTTCAGACGGTAAGTCTACACTGTAGGAATCATCTGAGGTTTCCCCTAAAAAGGATCTGTTTACATTGATCCTTTACATACTTTACTCACTAAATACTTTTTTCCCCATTAGTAATGATTGAAACACCTCCATTAAAAAATATATATATTTTTTTTAATGTGAATCCTGACCGAGACTCAAACCTGGGACCCTCAGAAAACCGTACTGCGGCTCTACTGACTAAGCTATCTGGCCGCCTACAAACTACCTCCCCTCCCCTAATTAGAGAACAATTCAATACCGTGACATGATTATTTTCGGAATAATTTAGGATTCGAACATTACCCAACTTTGGGTCTCCTGAAGAGTTTTTCAACATCATTTTTACCCCATCTTACTACTATGTTTACCTTTTAGCCCAAATTGTTCTGGAATTTCATTCATTACACCCATTATCAGGAGATAATTTGGTTATATGTTACTTGTCATTGTGGGAGGTCTGTAAAAAAATCTGTACGACAAGCTTTTCAAAATAGAACATGTCCTATCCCTTACATCTAGACTTAACGATTCCGAAATCAAGAAATAGTAGCCTTCACACATTAATATTTGTCTGTACATCTTAGTTTTAATTGGTGTTGTACTTCAAAATCCTATCGTCTGTTGAGGCCTTTATGTCATGCTTGACCTTCTCCAATGAAAAGTTTATGTAGATTTAATATTAATTTTGTTCGCTGTATTATGCACATAAATCATGCTCACTTTGTATTGTACATGTATATATTTATCTTGTATTGCAATCATGGGCGAATAGCCTTATGGAATAAATGAAATAAACTCTAAACTCTTATCTGCAAATATTGTAAGCGTGCACAAATTGTGATAAAGAAGTTTTTAAATAATTGGGGGCTCTGTTAGTCAATTACTGATATCAAAAATTGATATAAATCGCGCAATACATGAATTTAAGACTTCTACAATTTAATTGAAGATATCAAAATTATCAAAATTGAGTATTTCAGCTGTTATTTTTACAACAACTGAATTGATATTGCCATTGTTTTATAACGCGCAACAAATTGATTTTAAGATGCCTCAGATTCTCTCAATCAATTTGAGCGCGGTGAAATATTCAATTTTAGATTTTAGATAACTTGAAATCAAAGTTTAAATAATGTCAAATCTGCACATATTAAGATATTTAAAGAGGTATTTTAATATTTGGAGAGCTCAGCAAAATACATTAAGAAGTCTACAGATAAGTTAAAAATATCAAAAGTTCGTGTGTTGATTTTAAGACATCTTTAATTCAAATGAGGAGGTCTCCAATTGGTGCAATTACTATTTTCGATATTTTACCATCACTGTCGGGCATCACATGCTATTTAATCATTCTCAGTAATGAGTACTGTGAGAGCCATAGAATTGAGCAGTTATGAATTGTTGCTTGTATATAACAGGACCTGATCAACAACTGGTATATGAATATTATTTAATTTTTTTAAGTGCAATACTCAATTCTATTGGACGAATACATGTACGACTGTCAAGACTATATTTGACGAGGCGCTATCTACTGTGTAGATATAGGGTTCTATATACATCATGTCTGCTGTTTTCCTATAAACACGTTTACTACAGATAAGTAATTAAGGTATTTGGTATATTGTGATGGAACAGGGCCGGTGATCACATGGCTTTCATCTACGGTAATATTTTTGTGTCACCTCCAATTTAAGTTTCTATGGTTAAAAGGCATAGCTCGATTATAAAAACGGAACGTTTGTATGTAAACAAAAATGTTTTAACATTAATATAATGCTTTAAATTCACAACTGAAATATTCATACTATAGCCTATACTTTTGTGATATTTTATTCATTGTAAATGTAATTGTATAACTTTTGCCTTATTAATTAGAAGGAACAAAACCTAGCCACTGAGCCTGGTTATGTAGGTTTATAAATAACAAGCTGTTTTGCTTGAGTCTTGCGCGAGGAGCAAGTTTTTCGTGATGTATTTCAGATAAGAAGATTATATATATATAACTTTGGTAGGATCCTACAGATGGCATCATATGTCAAATATCAAAGTTCTTGGCCTTGTACTTTCAGATAAGAAGATCGAAACCATTTGAACACAATTTTGAAAGGGGACCACGCAAAGATCACTCATCATTCTTGTTTGGGTTACATGCATCCAATGGATTCAGAGAAGATGCTGTTTATAGAAATTGTTCCTGAAATTGTTCACGACGCATGACGACGGATGGGACGGTCACAATAGCTTACCATGAGCATGTTGCGTTCAGATAAACTGGAAATATAAAACATTTTTATTATATTCATTTGATCACCACGTTGTTTATAACGTGCTGCAAAAAGATGAAATAATAAAATATGAGCGCCGCCTAAGACTTGCATCTATAAATGCTTGCATATAAGGTCTCGACCCAATGAATTTTTGTATTCTTTGTTCTATAGTAAATCAATCATATTTCTTGATTCCAATGTACATGTGAATTATATACTGTCTGTCTTCAACTTTAAACATCAACACTATCCAAGTTAAATGAGGCTCGAAATATGTAAGGTATCTATTTTTTTCAGAAATCTTCACTCCTGACTGCTTTTGGGAAATCTTGTCCCCTTTCCTCTTATGATTCCCATCAAAGATGGCTGATAATTTAGAAGTGCGCAGGGGACCAGTCTAGCTGTGGGTAGAGATCACTTAAATTGGACAACTTCAAAATTTAAAATAACTAGACCATAAGATGATCACATTAAATAATAAACCTTTCTCTCTATATAAACCACCTATAACTCTACACTACTTTGTGATATGAATTTAATACATGTGTTGTGAAATCTTCGTTTATGACTCGCTTTCTGTTTTAATATCCATTAAAAATAAAAAAATCTGACAATATCATGATAAAGAAACTTCTTTTACGATTTCATGATATACTTAAAATAAAATATGTTAAATTATATTGGATTCCAAGTCATGTAGGTATACGAGGAAATGAAAAAGTAGATGCTTTAGCTAAACAATCATTAAATTTTCAAAAAAGCTGACTTATTGTTACCTGCTTGTGATTTTAGAACGGCTATAAATAAACTCGTTTCATCTGAATGGAAAGCAAATTGGGACAATGCCGTCTTTAATAAACTTCATGATATAAACCCATCTCTTGATGTGTCACCATTTCTGTCTTTGTCAAACCGCCATGATCAAAAAGTTCTTCTCCG